TTATCTCCCAGAGCAGAGGCAAATCACCATTTTAAGTACAAGTCATAAAACACATAAAAATACATAACTTTATAACTGCCGAACATATTGCATTCGTGTAACACATCCCCAGATAGCCTGGATCTGAGTCATATTATTGGCGAATAGCGCTCAGATCCCATTCGCATAGTTCAATCGCCATGGAGTCAAAGTCTATTACAGTTCTTCGGTATGCGATTGACTCCATGGGAAGGCTATCTGGGTTAAGTCCATTCGTGTTGTTGAATCTCTCGAACGGCTGGCATTCGTATGCTTTTGTCGATTGAGAAGGGGAGGTCGACGGCTTCAGCGGTGTTCGGTTGAAAAAGTGTCAGTTTTCAGTTCCATGAAATAACCGTCGAACACCGCTGGTCTTTCGCATGGTTAAAATGGCCGCTGCCTCGTGGTCGACATACGAACAACGACCACCCGGTATTTGGTTTTAATTGAGAAGTGTCTGTGGTTAACCACAACGTTCTAATTGGGATCAATAGGCTAACCAGCAGCACACTTCTCTTCTGGGTGGCCGTCCGTTTGGTAGTTCCGTTCGACAAAAAAACAGACATTCCCTTAAACAAAGCATACGAATGGGGAAATTCATGCAAACGGCAAAACAGACGAACACAGTGCTTTTAGTCCATACAGATGGGTCTGTCACATGAGTCATTGTGACGAAGTGCCCTTCGTCACTTGTACTTGGAGAGGACTAAAGGCTAGCCTTTTGCCTTGTGACTATGGCCCCTGGGGTGTGTTGCCTGTTAAAAACTAAATTTGTGCAGATTGGATTCTAAACCACTGTGTCTGGCCCTTTAAATCCTACAGGAAAGGATCTGCACTTTTGAACTGGCACTTCGGATACAGCCAAAGTACCGAAGTAGTTGAAGTGGCCGCTATTCGACAAACGTGTTCAGCAGTGTTTGGTCGTCGAGTTAATGGAACTAAAATCGATACTCTCAGGAACTTCAACACTTTGAATGGTGTCAAACGGCGTTCGACAATACGAACGCCACATTAATATTGCTATTTGCACGAACGGCCCCCGTTCGTGCATTTCAACAGTATTTGAACTAATGTGAATGGACCAGCCACACAGCCCAAATCTCTGGAACTGTTTTGGGCATGAAAATGTGCGTGCGGCCCATCAAAATGGGACTTCCAGCTATCTCCCGAACCACTGAACCATGATTTTTGGATATATTTGTCCCCTAAGTATGCTGTTACAAACTGCCATTTGTAACTGGCCCTCTAAATGACAAATTGCCCTGCTTCCCTGGGTTGTGGAGAAGCCTATTTGCCAGCCTCCTTCCTCATGACTATGGCCCCTGGGAGATTGTGCCCCTGAAAACTTATGGACTTTTATTGGGTGTGTATGGCCCTTTAAGAACCATCTGGGGACATATTGTGACTTTGGTGAACAATGCCCCTTTAAGACTATGTCCCCAGACCTGTAAAATAACTTGTTCCTGGCTTTCTCCCACTTGGTTCAGTAAATGGGGCTTACTGAACTAAGTACCACACAGGCGGACCACCCAGAAGTGTAAGTGTGTAGGCAATTTATCTCCCAGGCTGAGAGCCTGCTGTAGGTAAATTGCCGACCGCTGAGTGGCCGCAGTTCATGCAAACCAACACGTGGTGGCGGCCATCTTTGTTTATTCGAACGAGGTCAGCGGTATGTGTAGCCAAATCCATGGAACTGAAATCGGTTACACATTTTCACGAACACCGCTGACCCTTACCTTCTCCTACACTCCGTTTTCAGCTTCAGAGACTAAGTCCCGTTCGGCAGTCTGAACTCACTGCTATACTAAGCCAAATGCATGAACGGCCTCTTTTGTGCATTCGAATGGGACTTAGTCATTTTTCAGTGTGAAATTGACCAACCACACAGCCCAAATCTATGGGCAGGAAAATGTGCTTGCGGTCAGTCATAAAGGACTTCCATCTAACTTTCGATCTACTGAAGGAATTTGTATGATTTTTGAGAGTGTTTATGTTTGAAGTGTTTGAAGCTGATTCTGAATATGTAATTTTTATGAAGATTGGATGTATGGTTTTAAAGTTATAGTATATGTATAAAACATGTATTTTTCCTGCCTGTGATAATTATGTTAAACCATTGTGTGCCATAATTAGATCACAGGCAGAGGGGAGGATTTTGTGTGTAATTGCTGGGAGTGTTTTCTGTAATGTACGTGTTATTGGTTGTTCTGTAAAACCCTGTGGGTGGTCCTATGTAAGGAAAACCTGCATAAAAGAAGGCTCTTTGGTGCCAAATAAATGAGAATGACTTGACCCTTTAACTTGCAGCCGTGACTCATGTTTGTAGGGGGCAGCTGTAATCACTACAGGGATTGCTATGCTCTTCATACTCCCTTAGCTACTGAGCTCTTGATCCTGCTTCGCTCTACAGAAGGAAGAGGTTCACCTGCTGGAGCCCAGTGGCATCGCTGTGCCCCCTCTTGGGCCCCCCCAAATGCTGGCAACTGACCCCCAGCAACAGCCTCCAGTGACAGGTAGGCTTGGTGTGTGTGTGTGTGTGTGTGTGGACTCAGCAGTATGTGTGTGTGTGTGTGTGTGTGTATGTGTGTGTGTGTATGGACTCAGCAGTCTGTGTGTGTATGGACTCAGCAGTCTGTGTGTGTGTGTGTGTATGGACTCAGAAGTCTGTGTGTGTGTGTGAATGGACTCAGCAGTCTGTGTGTGTGTGTATGGACTCAGCAGTCTGTGTGTGTGTGTATGGACTCAGCGGTCTGTGTGTATGGACTCAGCTTGGTTTATGTGTGTGTGTGTGTGTGTGTATGGACTCAGCAGTCTGTGTGTATGGACTCAGCAGTTTGTGTGTGTGTGTGTGTGTGTGTGTATGCACTCAGCAGTCTTTGTGTGTGTGCATGGACTCAGCAGTCTGTGTGTGTGTGTACGGACTCAGCAGATTCTGTGTGTGTACGGAGGTAAGTCCTGCCTCATCTTTCCAACATTTATAAAACCTTTTAGTAAATTCAGTTACTGTTTTCTTTGATCCCTGTTTACAGGGTAAAGCAGTAGATATTGACTGTTTATACTTCCATAACCTCTCCATTTCTTCATGCACTTCTTTCCACATTGCGTTTCTGCCTCTGTCTTTAGCTAATCTGTATGTTCCTAAAGTAATCCCTGTATCTGGTATACTAATAGATGTGACATTGTCCCAATTCCATCCTGACTCAGGGTCATAATCTAAGAGTTCATCTATTATTAGTTTTACGTCAATTTGTGTCATGTTCTGTCCTTTGCACATATGTTTTAAATACATCATGCATGCTGAGGGATTAGTCCTAGGATTGGGGGCTCCCTTTATAGATATTTCCGATGTTAAGGGTTTTATAACTAATTGGTCACCTACTGTTAGAAAAGGGAATGTACCTGCTTGTGACGAGACCAATCTCGCCACATTGCATTGGAGGAGCCTGGTTGCCCACCTGCTGCCTTTGGATTATGGACCGGCAGCTAAAGGGTTAATTTTACTGTGCAGAAGGATTTATTTCTCCCTTTCTGCACAGCCGTTCGGTAGATTCCATCTACCGAACAAACAGTTTCTTTTCAGCCTCCCCAGAGCCGTGGGAAGCCGGCCGGCGACCTTAATTGGCCACCCAGAAGCTGGAGTGCGCCCTCCATTTACCTCCCTGAAGCCGCGGTTAACCGCGGCTTAACGAGCGTGTGCCGGCAATTGACCACCCAGTAGCTGCGGTTAACCGCAGCTTAATTGATTGTTACTGGGTGGTCGCGGTTACACTTAGCCGCCACACGATGGCGGTGTTCTGGAGCTCCCCGGGCAGCCAGCGCTTTTCTGCCCGGCTTTCCTGCACCAAACCCGGACACTTTTACGTGCAGGCACCGCTGAACCTCCAACCCCTGGTTCTAATTCGTACGGATTTAACGAATGCATGTAAATTCGGTATTTTATGTTGGAGGAATGTTTTAACCCAGATAGCCATGCCATGGAGCCTGTTCGTGGAATTAAAGACTTTGGCTCCATGGCAATTAAACTGTATTCGTGTGGTCTGAGTGCCATTCACCTAATAATGTGCACTCAGACCTGAGCTATCTGGGGATATGTTACATGTATATATTTACTGTACCATTTGTCCCATTATGTATTTTAAAGTGATAGTCTGTTTTTGTGTCCCCACGTGTGTAATGGAGTTTTGCCTTTGTCCTGGGAGATAATTGAATTACTTCTCCAGGGCAGAGGGGAGGAAGCCAGGATGCATTGTGGGGATGTTTTACTTCTGTATGTCTGTAATTGGTACATGTCTGTCTTTTGTTACAGTCTTCCATCTGGTCCCCTAGGGGAGTGTCCACCAGGTGGGAGACCTGCATAAATACTGGGCAGGTAGCCCTCATTAAACTGACCACTGCTTGACCCTCAACACGGAGCCTTGTCTCGTCTTTGGGGGGATTTACTGTATGCTGATAGAGACTGATTGCCAGGAGTGTAAGCCGCTTGGGTGCTTTTCCTGTTCATCTGCTAGCAGCTATTCGTGAGGTTCCAGTTTGAGTGTTTGGAGCATTCCCTTGTGTGCAGTTCGAGTGTTTGGAGCATTCCCTTGTATGCAGTTCGGGTGTTTGGTGCATTCACTTGTATTCAATTCGTGAGTTTTGGTGATTCTAGAGTAGCTGTGCCTGTCTCTAAAAGGGGATTATCGTCTAAGCGGTTTTTATCCCTTGTCTGCTGAAACGGTCCGTTACACTGCTGCTTCACCATCTGCTACTTCACCTCCCTCCTCCAATTGGCTACCCTCATATTTCTTAATGGACCAGCTACTTCCCACCCCACTTCTGGTCCCACAGAATACGCCCAAAAGATCTTTTTGTAGAGTTAGTTTAATGGCTGAGGGTTTCTCTCCCTGTCTAGTTTTAGTCCCTAATCCTTGGGATGATCCAGGGGAAATAAGAGTGGGTTGTGTTGATGGAGCACTAACAACACTAGGGAGTAATTTTTCCTGTTATTGGCATTGTGCGCGCAAGAAATCAGCAAGGAGGGGCTCTATATCTTCTTCATGTGTAGTGAGCAGATTGGTATAGATCTGAGTATAATTTGGAGGTATTAGATTAGGGGTTATCGAAATATGGGATGGAGGGGTCAACATGTCAGTTAGGGTAGGCTTGGTGGGTATGAATTTCCCCTTTTTATCTTTCTTAACTCCCTTGCCATCTGTGGATACTGGATGCCAGTGTGAGGCTACCTTAAGCCAATTCTCTCCTCCTTGTCTCATATAATTCTTGTTCCACCCGGGGTCCCCTTCATACCATGGAAATGCTTTCCGGTCTCCCAAACATAATCCCTTAATTATATTTATATGAAAGTCATCATTTGAACCATCACGGGGAAAAGGGCTTGAACTCTTCATTCCCTCAGTCCACCCTGACATATTATTTACCGATGGGTCTACAAAGGACCATCCTGTAGGGGATGTCCTGGCTACATGTTCCTTACATGTTTCACCTGGGATGGGTGATGGATATTTTTTAGACTGGGAAGTTCCCATTTTCAACTATGCAGGCGTTATGGGGGTTTAGGTTGCACTATCTGTGACAGAACCATCTGCCTGCCTAGTGTGGTGGATTTGTCTATTTCTGGCCCCTTTCGTGTAAATGGCTGTTTCTATAGCCCAGCCATACGAATGACTGTTTTTTCCTGAACAAACCTACCGAACGGACAGCCACCCAAGAGAGGAGTGTGCTGCTGGTTAACCTATTGATCCCAATTAGAACGTTGTGGTTAACCGCAGACACTTCTCAATTAAACAAATTCAGGGTGGTCATTGTTCGTATGTCGACCACGAGGCAGCGGCCATTTTAAACCATTCGAAAGCCCAGCGGTGTTTGGCTCTATTTCTATGGAACTAAAAACTGACACTTTTTCTGCCGAACACCGCTGAAACAACGGAACGCCTGGCTGCCTCCACAAAAGCATACGAATACCGACCGTTCGGGAGGTTTGAAGCATACGAAAGGACTTAACCCAGATAGCCTTCCCATGGAGTCATTCGTATACCGAAGGACTGTAAGAACTTTGACTCCATGCGATTGAACTATGTGTGTGGGATCTGAGCGCTATTCGCTAATAATATGCACTCAGATCCAGGCTATCTGGGGATATGTGATACGAATGGGAAATGTTCGGTTATTTTAAAGTTATGTATTTTTATGTCTTTTATGATTTTATATTTAAAATGGCGACTGGCTTTGTCCTGGAGATAATTGAGTTACTTGGTAATTATCTCCAGGGCAGAGGGGAGGGAATCATAGTGCATTGTGGGTAAAAACTGTGTCTATGTGTCTGGAATGTCCCCATATCTGTCTGTCATTTAAGTCTCCCATTTGGTCCCCTAGGGGAGTGTCCACCAAGTGGGAGACCTGCATAAATACGGGCAGGTAGCCCACAGTAAAGCCAGATCCTGTTTGACCCTCAGTGCGGAGCTTCTGTCTCGTTATTGAGGGGATTTCTTCTTTACATTTAGAGACTGCTGGATGGAAACGAAAGCCGCTTGGTGGATGTTATTGTTCCGCGGCTAGCAGCAGTTCGTGTATTGCGGATCGGGAGGTTGGAGCCGTTCACGGATCCCGGTCGGGAGATTACCGCTTCCCCTGCATTTGATTTGGTTCGTGCACTACAGGTTATGCGAACGGAGCATATTGATATTACAGACGGGGAAGGTCGACTAAACGGCGGTTTTGCTTAAAGACACTGGAGGTGTCTTAACAATTGGTGGCAAGCGACGGGATGAATCCCACAGCACTGGAGGTCAGCTACACATCCCAATTGAGCAAAGGAAATGCAGTATGAGGAGTTAAGACGTGCTACTCTTAAGGATATATTGGAACGCCGAGGACGGTCAGCAAGCAACCAACTTTGCTGGTAGAAATGGATGCGACACCGGGAATGGAGAGAGCTAATGTGCCCAGTACTTTGGATTTAACACCTGAGGAATTACAATTTAACCGGGCAGTGCAAATAAGGCTGGCACATTTTGGCCCCAACCCCTCAGCAGACATTGTGGAGCGTGTGCAGGCAGCAGTAACGGCACACCAGGCGCTCTGGGAAAGAGGAGCTGCAGCAGCAGAGGTACCCAATAACAATTTTGCTAGGAAAAAGGTACCCTTTGCTGCGTTTAAAAATTTTGTGGAAACAGAGGGAGAGATTGATGGGTTCCTGGCGGACTTTGAGAGGCAGTGTGCCCTACACCAGGTGCCCACAGATGAATGGGTCACCATCCTCTCTGGGAAGTTTCGGGCCCCAAGCCGGGCCAGTGAAGCGTTTCGGGCCATCCCAGAGGAGGAGATCACCAGCTACCGGGCTGTGAAGGATGCGCTCCTAGCCAGGTATGCGGTGACCCCAGAAGCGTACAGAAGGCGATTTAGGGAAACCAACAAGCAGCTTGGTGACTCTTATGTAGAATGGGCCTGCAGGGTTCACCGTACCGCAGCCCACTGGATGGCAGGATGCCAAGCGGTAACTGGGGAGGAGGTGCTACAGGTGTTCCTACTGGAACACTGCTTTGATAGACTACCTGCTGGGGTCCGGGAGTGGGTCAGAGATAGAAAACCCTCTACCCTACCCGAGGCTGCCCGTCTGGCAGACGAATATACGGACGCTCGTAAGTTGGATAGTACAGCTACCAAAGCCCCTGCCAGACTGGAGTATCGACCAGCAGTACCTCCAGCTCCTTCAGCCTACCAACCCACAGTACACTGCACTCCAGCACTACCACCGATGAACAACTACGTGCAACCATCCAGATCCAATGCCCGGGATTATTCACAACCCATCCGGTGCTTTGGGTGCAAGCAGTTGGGGCACAAGCGTCCAGAGTGCCCACTGAACAGTGCCAACCAAGCCCAGTCCTGGAGGAGACCAGCCAACGGGAACCAGCGGCCACCTCAGCCTGCTGCTCACTGCATAGAGCAGGAGGAGTTCTGGGGCATCCTACATGAGGCCCAGTGCAAGCAGCTCACCAGGATAATCGCCAGCAACATCGGCAGACGGTGAAACTGAATGGCAGGGTGATGAATGGGCTAAAAGACACAGGAGCCACCATGACACTGCTCCAAAAGAACCTGGTCTCGGAGCACCAGCATACAGGGGACACTGTGGCGGTGAGTGTAGCAGGGGGTGCCGTGTTTTGTTAACCTGTTGCCCGGGTTCATTTGGATTGGGGAGTGGGCGCTAGACACGTGGATGTGGGGGTGATGAAAGACTTGCCCGCAGATGTTCTTCTGGGGAATGATTTGGCCCCTTTGGTTTCAGCCTATGCCCCGATGGGCCCTGCGGACGTTAACCCAGTGACTACCCGTGCTCAGACCCATGCTTCTGGAACCGGCCCACCTGCTGATGAGACCCATATAAGATCTCCTTCCCCGACTGGTACCCTAGATCAGGTCCCCTTAAGCTGGGATTCCCCAGAGGAGTTTGGGAGGGAAACCCGGGCAGATCCGACCCTCCAAAAGCACAGAGACAGGGAAGATGCTGGAGAGGAAGGAGTAAATGGGGAGCGGTATGAGTGGGTGGGGGACAGGTTATATAGGATTCCTAAGCCCTCCCAGAAGAGTGTTGCCCCTCCGCCGAATCGACAGTTAGTGGTACCTGCAAAGTACTGGCAGGAGATTCTGCGGATAGGGCATGATGTTCCGTTAGCTGGACATCTAGGGTCCCACCGCACAGCCTATAGGATCTCACAGAATTTCTTTTGGCCAAACTTTAACCAGGCTGTGCGGATGTATTGCAGTACGTGTGACACATGTCAACGGGTAGGAAAGCGGGGGGACCACCCTAAGGCTAGGCTATTATCGATGCCTATTATAGGGGAGCCCTTTGCCCGCATAGCTGTTGACATTGTGGGTCCACTGGCCAGGGCTAGTCCATCAGGTAAGAAATACGTTCTTACCGTGGTGGACTATGCCACTCGCTATCCAGAGGCAGTAGCGCTGTCTAATATAGAGGCAGAGACGGTTGCTGATGCCCTGGTTAGAATTTTTACTAGGGTCGGGTTCCCTAAGGAGATCCTCTCCGACCAGGGAACTCAATTCACCACTGTGCTCACCCAGCAGCTGTGGAAGGTGTGTGGCATTAAGCAGTTACTCAGCTCACCCTACCACCCACAGACTAACAGTCTCTGCGAGCGCTTTAATGGTACCCTCAAACAGATGGTGAGGACCTTTACAAATACTTGCAGAGACTGGGAGAGATACCTGCCTCATCTGTTATTTTCTTACAGAGAGGTGCCCCAGGAATCTACTGGGTTCTCCCCCTTTGAGTTGCTGTATGGGAGAAGGGTCCACGGACCCCTAGATCTCATTCGGGGCCACTGGGAGGGGGAGACAGAGCAAGAGGGGACCCCCATCGTGCCTTATGTTCTGAAACTCCGTGACCGCATGGAGAAACTGTCCCTGATGGTAAGGGAAAATCTCCAGACGGCCCAGGGGGACAGAAGAGATGGTACGATCTGGGTGCCCGACAGCGGGTCTTCCAGGTTGGTCAAAAGGTATTGGTGCTCAAACCTGTGAAGGCCAACAAGATGCAAGCATCTTGGCAGGGCCCGTACAAGGTAGTAGCGCAGATCTGCGATACTACTTACTTGATAGCCAGCTGTGCAGATGAGAGGGTCCAGCGATCCTTTCGTATGAACATGCTGAAAGAGTACCAGGAGAGACCTGAGAATATTGCAGCAGTATGTGCCCCAGCTGCAGATGATTCTGAGAATCTACCCCTTCCAGATTTGTTAGAAAGGGATTCCCAGACAGACCTTACTACCCTTGTACAGCTTGGGGACAGGTTGAAAGAGTACAGGCACAACAGTTGTTGTGGGAGAAGCAGGCGACGTTCTCCCAGGAGCCAAGTTATACCACCCTAGCTGTAAGGTAGAGACCCCTGGACAGACCCCCTTACGACAGCCCCCCTATCGTATCCCTGAAGCAGTCCGTGAAGGAATGCGGAAGGAGATACAGGAGATGACCCAGCTTGGGGTCATCGAGCACTCCGACAGCCCTTGGGCTTCGCCTGTAGTCCTGGTGCCCAAGAAAGATGGGACCACCCGGTTCTGTGTGGACTACAGGCGGCTCAACGAGCAGACCACCACTGATGCCTACCCAATGCCCAGGGTAGACGAATTACTAGATCGTATTGCCAGGGGGCGCTATCTGACCACCATAGACCTGTGTAAGGGCTACTGGCAGATCCCCCTGGCCGAGGATGCTATCCCCAAGTCGACATTTGTCACCC